GAAAAATCTTACATAGTGTAAATTACATATAGCGCTGCACTATGATAGTTAATCATATGATGTGCAACACCCCAGTTTTTTATTTTGTAATGATTGCGCCGGAAAAAAAAAAAAAAAAAAAAGATAGATAAGGACTTCATTTTTCTCTTAAATTTATTAACTTTTATTATTTTTGCTTATTAATAATAATTGTCGCGGCTGATGCTGAATTTTGGGGTCTCGATTTGAAGATAAGCCCTGCTAAAGTCCACATATACTCTAAATATCAAATCTAGTCCTAAACCCTAACCTAACCCTAAAAAAAAAATCGTACGAAAACACCCCCAAAAGAATTTAAAATTTCATATCGAAATAGGTCCACAACATCAGCCGCGACAATAATTTACTTGGTGACATACCTCAAGCTTTAGAGATGAAATGCATTGTATTAATGATTCGAGAGACAACCCACGAAAGCCACGCCTGGAGGGAAAGTCGCGACTAGTATCGGTATAGTGACTGGACTCGTCAACTCGTGACTCGAATAACTCGAGTTTATCACGATTCGAATCATAAATTCGAAACTCGCGAGTTACTCGTGAGTTAAATTACTAATATAAAAATTATGTATAGCAATATTAGAGGTTTCAAAATTAGCGGAGTTTAAAAAAAATTATATTTGTAATTTTTAAATTAAAATTTTGAAATAAGAAAATGAAATAGTGTTTAAACTTTTTTAAACTTTTTGTTTATGTAGTCTATTAATCGTTAAAGCGCTGTTGATAAATATAATAATATAATAAGCTTACATTAATAAAAATAGATTAATAGATCACTTATTTTGAAACAAATAATTTCTCTTAATTCTTTTGAAATGGGTATCTGTTTTTTAATTTTGAAACCCCTATTTTTTTTTTTTTTTTTTGTATTTGCAATTTAAAATATACTTTATTCGGCTTTACAAGAATTTTTAATGAATTTTTAATTTAATTGACTCGAATTACTCGAACTTCGATTCGAAAAAATATCTCGAACATATGATTCGAGTTAATTCGAAACTCTTCAAAATTTAACTCGCGAGTCACGAGTTTTCACGAGTCCAGTCACTATATCAGTAGTAGGGAAAGATGTCAGGTTTTGGTTCACCTTTCCAACCAACAAGATACAATTTACGTGATGGTTGGGACAAGAGGAGAATAACTCAGAAACTATCTCGAAAAATTTTTATTTAATTTAGAATATTTTTGATCTAAAATTTTAATTTCATATGTAATAGTTAGTGATAATGGTTTAAATAAATAACCGTTTCTTTAAATAAAATAAAATTTTGTAAATGCATATTAATGAACAATTTGCCGTCTATTGTGAAAATTTAGAGCAAAAAAATCTTTTAATGCCGGGACAATCATTAGTTAATATTTTTATTAATACTGTATTCAATATGTTCTTATTTGAATTATTAAGTTTGAAACTTCAAAATTCACTTCCAATGGTTAAATGAGTACAGTACTAAAAATAAATTGAGTACGCACTGTTATAACTTTTCAGATTATTTCGAATTTATTATTTCTATATACTAAGTCATTTTCATTATATTGAACTCTCGATATAGTGAAGAATTTTTTTAAATTCATTGCTATTATTATTCTATATAATAAAGTTTATATAATATTATCTCAATATAAGCTATAGTGAAGATTTTTTTCTCAGTCCGATCACTTCACTATAGCGAGAGTGACTTGTATAATAATTCACTTAAGTTTCATTTCATCTTTTCTATTGCAAAATCCCAAAATTGATCTATGATTATATTGTATATCTGATTTTTAGATTTTTACTATGTTTACTGTACTTTTTTTTTGATTTGCTGCTATACGAGCACAGGCACCTTGTGCCTGGTCTAAAGGCGTGGTGCCTAATGTGCCTACTTACCATATCCCATGAAGTACTCAAGTCTTTTTTTATAGGAGATATTATAATTGATAAGGTACTATAGTCAGTGGCCTTGATGCCATATTACGTTATTCATCGGTAATGTTTTGTTTTGTCTTCTCCTATTACTACTGTAATATTATTTGATATATATCTAAACTACATTATTTATACAATAAAAACCAATATAATCAAATTTAAAATTTTTTCACAAAGTTGCGCAATAAACAGTAAGTATTAAAAGATAAGCAATAAGTTAAATTTACTTTTGTTATTACAAAAACTTGCTACCAATTATATTAATTATATCCTTCGCGTATAAACATATAAATCCCTCGCATATGAATAGATTTACGCGCTTCCATTATTCTGGCTTAATTTGATAAAATTCATGTAACCGTAAATCACCCTTTTTTTTTTTTTTTTTTTTTTTTTTTTTTACCATGAGAGACAGAATGTAAAGAGTCATGTAGTAGGGATCTATAACATAATCTAAGCTTTTTTATACTTTTGAAATTTAGCTATAGAGAAAAAAAAAGTTCATAAGTAACTTTAAACTTTATTGCACGAAATACAGTAGTAAAAAATATATACAATATACTGTATAGAGTTGTCACCCAAACCCGATGGTTTCGGCTAGTGTTCCGCGAAAATTACCCGGTCGGAACCGGTATTTTTGATGGCTATAAAAACAGTGTTACACGATATATTCTTGAACTGAAATTGGTATATGTTATAGTATGATAAACCCACTATCAGAAAACGGGCTCCACTTGTACCTCGCACGTGCCAGTTTCCTGTGGCAGCTTAGGGTGTCCAGGATTATGATCCGGCATATTATGCGCATAATTTGCAATTTTTCTATAAGAAATCGCATAATTTGCTCACTTTCATGCACTTTCATGCAAAAATTGACTGGTTAAAATAAATAAACCGGTTTGTAAATGTGACAGTGATCACCTGACTTGTCGTGTTTTTTGAATTTTATTGGCTAATAACTCAAAAATCGCATAATTCGCATAATTTGCAATTTACCAGATGCATAATTTGGCATTTACCGGATCATAATTCTGGACACCCTATGGCATCTCTCTAAAATCACGACACAAACCGGATCCGGGTCCAGACCCGACCCGATGTGTTGTGATTTTAGAGAGCTGCCACTGGCAACAAGCACGTGCGAGGTACAAGTGGAGCCCGTTTTCCGATAGTGGGTTTATCATGCTATGGCATATACCGATTTCAGCTTAAGAATCTATCGTGTAATACTGTTTTTATAGCCATCAAAAATACCAGTTCCGACCGGGTAATTTTCGCGGAATACTAGTTTCGGCACGTGGCCAAACCCAAATAGCCGAAACAGGAACACGGAAAATTATCGATTTGTTTTGGCAAAAATATTTATCGATATGGCCAAAATTATCGATTTATATCGATATAGCCAAATCGTCCAATCATAATGCAGGATTTGATTAACGTGATCAGAACTCGAAAAAAAAAAATTTCAATTTTATCTTTATTAATTTCAATAACAATTATCGATTATAATACATAATCGTAAGAGCACGAAGAGATTCTTTGCTAAGATTTTGCCTATCATCATCCAAAATTTTGTTATATGCAGAAAAACTTCGTTCTACACTACAAGATGATATAGAAAGCCAAATATAATCTAAGGCAATTTCATTTAACAAAGGTAGTTGGTAAGAAACCTTATTCCAAAATTCATCCAAAGTATGAAATTCAACTAAAGAAAGATTAAAATTACAATAAATTGCCCATTCTTGGATTAATTCAATTGAAGGATTTGCTAATTCATAGATATGAGAATATGATGCAATATTATGGTTAATAGTAGAAAGTAAAAAAAATTAAGGATCAAAAATGTGAGCTTCTTGAAATAAGGAACGTCAGGATGATTACTAATATGATCACAAAATTTTTTATAGGCAGCTTGATATGCAGAGTGAAATATAGAAAAAAATAAATCAGGTTCTGTATTAAGTTTAGAAAATACCTCAAGCACGGGTTGAATGAAAGTTGTTGCCAATTTTCCCATATTAATCATACTTTCTAATTGTTCAATTCGACCTTCAATAAATAGAAATATTGGCGAATTTTCAGTTTGAAAAAAATCTAAATCTCGTATAAATTGTTGTCCATAATTTTTAATAAATGTCAAATAAATCCATACACGTCTATATTCTTGTTGATCATTAAAAATTGCTACAATTTTTTCTATTGCGGGAGTAGTATTTTCTTTATGCTCTTTAATATAAAAATCCCGAATAAATTGCAAGTGTTCTTCTGTATAAAATGCCATTTTATACCAGGAGTTCCAACGTGTTGCATTAGGTAATGGAATATTTTTTGGACAAGAAACTCTATTTTGACACAAAAACTCAATATATCGTGTATGACGACTTTTTGCATGAATTAAAGTCTTTTTAATTTCAGCCAACAACTTGTGAACTATATTGAAATGTTCAACAGATACCCACGCCTCACTAAATAAATTAAAAAAAATATATATTATTTTGAATTTTATTAAATAACAATAAAATTTTTACATTTTTTTATTTAATTTTATCACTACACTAACCTAATTAAATTTAAAATATGCACCAAACAAGTTTGATGCATTATTTGAGGCATAATCGGCCTGAGTACTTCACGAGCACACTTTTTTATGTATGCTGCTGAATCAGATACAATTAATCATATATCACTAAAAGAAATATTCCAATCAACTAAAGTACGAATAATTAACTGTCTGATAGTTGAATTGTTAACAATATCCAAGTAATCAACAACTACTAACTTAGTTAATTCATGATAGCTAAACAAAATATTAACAATACTTCGTGCTCTACTATCAGTGGTTTCATCAACAATTACTGAAACCTTTTTGCCACTAAACATTTGTTTAATTGTAGCTAAATAGTTTTCAAAGACTTCAGGAAGATACTCACGACACAAGGTATCAGCCAAGGGAATATTACTACCTTCGTGTAAATACTCTTTTAACCATAGTCTGAACTTATCTGCCTTTTCCAGAGGAATATCGGCTTGAACAAATGCATAGATTAAATCATTAATGGCGGCTTTCTTTGATTCATTTGCTTCTACAACAAAATTTAAGGTAGGTTGTCTAGTTTTATTTGAAGAAGACAAAGCTTTTGCTTTTAAATCCTTGTGTATATGCATATTGATATAAGCTGTAATTGAGGCCTTGGCCTTTCAAGCTACTGAGCGGGAACAAAATCAGCACATTAAGAGACCAGAATCTGCAATAAAATCATCTGAAAATTCTTGTGCACGAAAATATACAGTAATTCGTTGAGGAGACATTAAGTGTATTAAAAAAAAAATTCGAAAAAAAAACTTTATTTCAAAAGAAAAAAAAAAAAATTCAATAAAAAAACTTTTTTCAAAAGAAAAAAAAAATTCAAAAAAAAAGCTTTTTCAAAGAAAAAAAAATTCGAAAAAAAAAACTTTTTTTCAAAAGAAAAAAAAAATTCAGAAAAAAAAATTTCTAACTTCTAAATTGTAGAATAGCTAAAAAAAAACATTTATAACAAAAGAAAAAAAAAACTTTTTTTTTTTTAAAAAAAAAAGGGTTCACATTTAGCTTGTACTTTACAATACGTACAAGAAGTTAAAAAATTAAGCAAAAAGTCTTACGTATAAGATTGAAGATAATCACGGTAACAAGTTTTCAAATCTAGCGTTATTAAATTTTGGCTAGTACTATTCATAATTCTGGCCGCAAGATTGTGTAATATTACACTACAGAAATTTTTGTAAAATTATCGATTTACCCATAATTTGGCCCAAAAATATCGATTTATATCGATCTATATAAATCAAAAATTTTCCGTGTCCCTGAGCCGAAACTAGTTTGGGACTAATGTTAATTTTCATAACAAATAACTATTAAAATTAACAAGCGTTAATTTCTATTAGGCCATACAAAATAATTTTCTTGGTTTTCATAACTTAAAATTTTCAAACAGACCCGGCAACCCGGCTTTTTTTTTCAAAATTTATATATAAAATCATATAAAAATTTTTTTAATTTTTTTAAAAAAACCCACCCGGTTATGATAAGGCCATACAAAATTAATTAATCGGTTTTCATAACCCGGACGGGTCAAAATTTACAAAACTCTAAAAAAAAATTTCA